CCGGACTATCAGAAGGGGGGGTTATGAGGGGTCTGGGGTGGCATCCCCTCCACCCCACCCCACCCCAGACTCCTCATAGCCCCCCCCTTCTGATAGTCCGGCATATCTGATAATCCGGCACCCCCGGGTCCTAAATGTGCCAGATTATCGGAAGTTTACTGTACTAAATTCTCAGATGTGTTATTAGTAAAAACTGAGAAGTAGTGGCAGAGTTATGTAAAACAAAAATGGAGAAATAAAAGCTAACTAATCAAGTTTAGAAAAAGAGATTTGACATAGCCCCCCCCTTCTGATAGTCCGGCATATCTGATAATCCGGCACCCCCGGGTCCTAAATGTGCCAGATTATCGGAAGTTTACTGTACTAAATTCTCAGATGTGTTATTAGTAAAAACTGAGAAGTAGTGGCAGAGTTATGTAAAACAAAAATGGAGAAATAAAAGCTAACTAATCAAGTTTAGAAAAAGAGATTTGATAAAAACTGTTATGAAAATGTATTCATGCTGATGAGGGGTTAAAAAAATTAGGAGCATATAGTTTGAAATTTAAGAAAATCTGCAAATAAAAGGAATAGCATTATAACAATCCTATTCAGGGAAAAAGGAAACTACAGTGTTGTCTTTAGAACTTATTTTTGTGATTGAATTAGTTAACGTGAAATAAAAGGGTACAAAATCATTTCTAGACATTAGCTCTCCATCAAAAGTGATCTCACTACTAGCTGTGAAAAACACAGACCAGCCATCCTCACTGTAGCAGATCAATGACCAATAGCAGAAAAGGTGAATTACAAATTCTTACCCCTTTGACTGGCCATTAGCACGGTTTTCAAAAAATTTTATCTCCAAAATATCATTTACTCCCAGTGAATGGACTGCTTCAGTTAAGTCTTCATCTGTTGTCCACTACAAAATATTTTTATATTCAACTGTCAAAACACATTAAGATACCAATTTTCACTATTAATACAGCGGCCTAATTTCGTACATTTGTACTACTGCTTTCTAATTTATTGTGAACATTTATCTAGCAGTGCACCTCACTAGATGCTTTCTGTGGCCGTTTGTAGAAAATGCCAGAAATCATTTTAAATGACTCTTTACAGTTAATTCTCAAAAAGTTCATTCTTAATATACATGAACAGACAAGTGTTAAAACAGTTACGGCACTAACGCCACCTGACGTGCATTATCAACCCTATTACCTAGTGCACGATCTTAACATATCTTCCAGCCTGCAAGATCTAATTTGTGAAATAGTCCCATTTTTTGTTTTATACCTCGAGGATTGCAAATTTTTCCTATTTAAGAGAGATTATTATTCAGCAGTTTCTGCTAGCCCTAAATCTTACATCTCTGATAAAGTCACATTTTGACACATTTCAATAGCACACTTCGCTTTCAGATGAGTTAGCACACTTATACTCCTTATACATGGTGCTCTCTACTAGTGCCACAAATGTCCCAAGTTAAATTAATTTACTAAAATTCCAAACTATGAACAGCTGGATTTTTGTTTGTTTATTTTGAAGCTTTAAGCAAGTTGTATTTTACTTTATGGTGGCACAGAAAAAGAAGAAGAAAAGAAGAGTTTATCAGCCTCTTCAATGGTCCATGGATATGTGGCTTCCATCAACATCTAACTCACTCTGCTATAAGCATAATATTAAATCAAACATTATCCCTTTCTGAAGTTAAACACTTTCACCCTATCTTAAGTGTGCACTGGTACTAAAGAAGTTGAAATAAGAAAACCTTTAACTCCAGGACCTCCCCCTAAATTTTAGAAGAGAATGGGAATAGGATGTGCAAGTTTTTAAACTTCTTATTTACCATCCCACCCATATACACCAGGCTCTAGAACAGAACCCTCAACACTTTTCAAGCTCACACTAAGCAAACTAAATTGCTGAATCTGAAGCCACTTTAAAAAAACAAAACAAAACACAACTTAACAATTGTCAAGTTTAGCACAAAATTTTGCAGACAGTTCTGTTTAATATGCCAAGTCAGCAGTATTGACATAAATTTAAAAGCTACATATGGATTTTCAAACACACTCAATATTGGCTTATTGGCCATTGTCTTCAATGGAAACAGAGTTACGCCAATATTGTGTTTTGAAAACCCCATCTCTACAAATAAGTTTTTAATGATAAATCAGTACCTCCTTTACTTACCTGGAAGGTGCCTGAAATCAGAATACTTCAATGCTTTACAACATCAAACACTTAAAAATATGAAGCCTCTTGTTTCATGCTTGGCACCAATATAGGTTTTAGCAGAGGAAACAAACTAGGGATATTAAGTAGCAATTAATAAGCTAATCGAGTAGTCGATGGAATTTCCATCGATTACTCGATTAGTTGATAAGGGGGTTAGCTCCTAAGCAGTCCCAGCTCGCACCCTGTCCCAGACTGCTACAGCTCTGATTTTAAAATGTAGTAAGAAGCAACAAGGGAGGAGGGGGGAGCGAGTAGTCAAATAGTGACTCGACTACTAGTTGACTACTTGACTAGTCGCTTACATCTCCATCACAAACTCAGAATTTTGCATGCTAGGAGATGGAAAAATTGGTTTTTAGCTTAACTGCCACTATAAAATATAATGTGAGTTCAACTACTGATTTAGCATCTTACATATTTATATTTTTAAATAGCACATGGCAGGTGGTCAACTGTTAGAGCCAACAGCAGAATACATTGTCTTCAGAGAAATACCAGTTTGGTTCCTAAGTGTGCAGCAGCTGAAAATACTGCAGATGCGACTCTTAAAACAGATGCTTGGAACAGTTTCCTGGAAAGTCCCTGCAAATCAGTCTTTATGGATGAATTCTCAGAGAAACCTCAAAGAACATTACAGTTCTGTTAAAAGTAAAAGTTTCAACAAGAGATTACACAAAATAGATCAGTTCATAGGCATAAAACAACAGATAGTATTAAGTATTCTGTTCCTTCCCTCCAGAGTTTCCTGAAATCCCTAACAGAGTCCAAACTTACTATGCTTTTTTCAGAAAGCTTCTTTCATGTTTAAATTATTCTACAATTAATACACAGCTGAACCTTTATATTTGTAAATATCCAATATCTCAAGACTGTGCCTTCCCCCAATTTTCACTAAAATGTTTTGATAACCTCCTTCTCTGTTCTAAGAAATCAGTAAATTACTTGTCTTCTATTGTGCCAAAAAAGTTAAATATTTTAATAAAATTCTTTCAACTACGAATGTGTGTGATCAGTGTAAGATTACTGGCCATAATAAAGAGTGTGTGTGTAGCTGTATTCCATGACTTACCCATGTAAGATTTCCAATGTACAATGCAATCCTCTTCCCAGTATATGTGTAGACAACATTTGGTGCTGTTCCTTTACCTACATCATCTCCAACTGATGGTGGGAGAGAGTCCATATAATCACGGTCCTCTGGGGCATCGCCATTATTTGCAGATGGAGAAATGACATCATCATACAAATCTATCTGGTCATGTCCACCATATTCAGCTTCCTAAAAATACAACAAAAATCTGTAGATTACATATCTAAAATACTCTTAATATTTATTCAAAATAAATACTGTCCTAAATGTCCAGAGAATTATCAAGCAAGACAGACACATCTGGGCATAAGTGCAACGGTATATCCCTCCCTTAAGAAATAGTTTACATCAATCTGATGTTACTGCTGTCTGGTTTCTACTTAAAAAGATCCCACCAAACTGACAGAAAGTTAACAAAAAAAAATCTTTAAATACTGCTTAATCCTACAATTATTTTGTTCTAGTGATAGAAACAAACCAGAGACCCAAACACTATTCTCAGAATGTTCCTGACATTAAATGATGCTGGTAAGCAAAATAGTAGCATGCTAACTTCAGCTTTTATGCAAACACAAAGCAAATATTTTCCCATATTAACAGAAATTGATAGGGAAAGTGGTCTGAGCTTTTGAGAGAGACCTGGCAGTGAATACAACATGCAGCCGCACTTTTCACAGACTGGATCCTAAACTTGATCCCTGATTCTCCGACAACGGGTCAAGAAGACAGCACTTCACACTCTAATGATCCCAATCAGTATAAAGGTGAAACACTGACTCGTTCCAAAGGAAGCTATAACCACTTTCTCGTGTCACCATGTCATCACAATATGAATTGGAATGGGAAATTACTAAGCCAGGAGCAAAACGAAATCAATTTTAATTTAGTTATCAGTCCACATTCTTTTTAAAATGTAGATATTTTAACATTAAAATGGCAACATGCTCTTTGTGCAAGCAGTGAGTATCACCTAAAAAAAACAACAGCTATGGCTCCAGTAATAAATTAATAAAGATTTATTTAAAGAATATCTTCTCTAAATTGAAGGCTGTTCTTGTTGCAGCCATTTTCATTTTTTAATCTCCACTTACAGTCATATAAACAGACAACTTGGCAAATGAAGTTATCATCATCTGTCTTACTGGTTCCTCATCCACAAAATTAAAACAACACAAAATGATGTTTTTTTTCAGTGTTTTGTGATCTCTGATACCCTGCAAGCATGCATCCCTCCCCTTTCAAAGCTCAAATCATTGGAATGCTTCTGTTCTGCCCTGCACTAGGAACATAGTGGTAGGCAGACTGCTGCTGCAGGGGGAGGGATGGAGAGACTGCTGTGCTGCTTTGACATTCCTCAACACAGAAAGTTCACAGAGCTATGAGAGAATCCCAAGAAGGGCAGGAAAAAGCTCTGTCTTCCCACAATACTGCAGTTTGGGATGCCTACCTACACTGATCTGCTCTATCAACAGGGGAGCTTGCAATGTGGCCATGAAATGTCAACAATGGGAGGCAGAAAAACCAATCTGACCGGTTTTCACTTTTGGTAACTTTTGCATGTTGACAGCACTTTCGTTGCCAAACCATCCCAATGTAGATATATTTTATGTGTCAGAGAAGTTCCTGTGTCAGCAAAAATAACAAGGAGTCCAGTGGCACTTTAAAGGCTTACAAAAGCATTAGGGTATTAGAGCATAAGTTTTTGTGAGATACAACTCACTTCCTCAGATGCTGAAGAGAAAAAGATGAGACAGGATAAAAAAGGATACAGAGATGCGAGTGTGACAACAGTGCTAATTAAATCAGAACAGATGTGGCTAATCTCCAACAGTGATGAGGTGAGATGAGAGTACCTGAATGGGAAATTACCTATTGTAATGCAAGAATCACTCAATGTGTTTATTTAGACTTTGGTTCAGGCTGTCAAATTTGCATATGAATTCCAGCTCAGAAGTTTCTCACTGCAGTCTGTTGCTGAAGCTTTTCTTTTTGAGAACTAGGGATATTAAATTTTGATTAACTGACTAATCAAATAGTCGATGCAATTTGCATTAGTCAATAAGGGCACCTTTGCCTTTGAGAAGTGTAGCAACAGCCCTGGCGAAAGCACTGCAGGCACAGGGCCAACAAGGGACTCAATGCCACGGGGAGCCACTGGTCTCAGGCTCCCTGTGGTGTTTCAAAGCAGCAGCGCCACATGAGTCCCCAGCTGATCCCGGGCTCCATGTGGCGCTGCTGAGAAAACACCTCTAAATCAGTTCCTGCCAATGTCATGCAGGGCACTGAGGACCCCAAATTTGACTCAGTTCAGTGAGCAGCCAGTGAAATAATCAGAACATTGGGGCAATATGCTGTTAGCAACCTATGTTATTATGTAGGTATGCTGTTTCATTTTGAACTAACTGGACAATTTGGCACAATCAGAATCAAGAGCTCAAGGCCAGAAGTGACCACCAGATCATCTAATCTGACCTTCTGTGCATAGCAAACCACCTACAATATCCAGCACCCGCACACTAAAAACAATTGAAATTAGACCAAAATATTACAGCTCACTGAAACTAAACTATTGCGTGCCACAGGCAGACAACCGGAGGGACCAACATGCATCAGTGCCCCACAATCTGGTATAATGTGGTTGCAGAATCATCGGACTGGATGGACATCAATTTACCACAAAAACATATAATTAAAAAAAACAAAAAAAACATTCGCACAAGTGAAGCTCCCAAAATAAGAAAATATGCTGCAGTTTTTCAAGGGGGCGAAGGGCTGGGAAGGGAGAAAACAGAGGCAAATATCTAAGTTTCCTCTATTGTTTTTGTTTCATTTAACTCACTATAGTGTGTAAGCAGACTATGTATGCACACACAATGTTGTTACTTTATGGAAAGGATTTGTGCGTCCTTAAAGATCTTAAATAAAAAGACTTACATAATCCTACACAACCAATACAGTGACAATTTTGCAGGGGCACATGCCAGCTCGGTGTGCAAAGCTCAATCCCCATGCTGGATGTTAAATTCCTCACACAAAAGCCAACATTGCTGGTGAATCCTAGCCCAGACCTGGACATAATTGATCAGCTGAACTGAGTCTGTCATCATATCATTTAGAAAACAAAACTTTGCAAATAATGCTTGCTAATGCACAGTACAAATGATACAAACAATATTCTCATTTGTTTTCAGCAAAGCAGAAGCTTCGTTTTTCTTTCCAAGTATAGCGAAAGCACCATCAGCTGTTATTGCTTTAATTTTTTCTAGCTGTCCGATGAACTTTTTCAAGGTATCCAATACAGTGATTTTAATTTCTCCTCCAGTTGTTCCATATCTAATAATTCTTCCATCACATCAAAATCAGCAGCTGTAGCTCTGATAAACTGCTGCAGCTTTGGGATGCCATTAATATCCAGGCTTTCATCCACAGAAAGGTTTGCATACTTGGAAGAAGACAATATTTTCCTGAGTAAGTCTTCAATGTGTTCTGAGATATCCGGCGCCCATCTCAACGCGGATGAATCAGAGCTTAAGTTTTTTCACCATTTTCTCAAGCGCCTAGAGCGCACTGTGTTATAGAATGCAGTGTTTTATCTCACCATTAAGATAAGGTTTTATTATTTCATATGTGATTTTGTATGATGCAGTAGTGACTTTCACTTATGTTAACATGAAACATGATTTGTTGCATTACTCTTTGCTGCTTGAGTTTTGTAAGTCTCTTTCCTGAGTTCACTTTCCACCACTACTGGGCTCAAAGAAATAATCACATTCCCACTCCTCTCCAAAGGCTCAGTACTTGTTTTCGTTCTTGCACTTTTTCATTGCTTTCACCATGTGTATTTTCCTGCCCATAGCAAGGGATACTAATGTCCATATGATTGCTCAAAGAATTCGAATTGTTTTTTTAACTGAGGTTGGGGGCCTCCTCCTTCAGGAGGGCCACAGATCAACTGTTTGTGGGCCCTTAGAGAGGAAGCCCTGAAGAGCTCCAAACTACACTTCACAAGTCACCTGTGGCTCATGAGCTTTAGACTGAGTTTCACTGTTTTAAATAACGTTCACACAAATAGCAATGTTTAGCAGATGTTAGTTTGCATTGTAAAACTTTTGTAGTTACTAAATATGCAACTCTGATTAGAATTCTAGTGCTTGAGTGGTTATTTGTGTCAACCACAGCAGTTCCCCTTTTCATACTCTCCCTCCCAAAATAACCCAACACATTACACAGCAGAAAACTCTTTAGAACAGCTTAAAGTTATAAAAGAACTCTGAAAAGGGAACCACAGTAACAACAAACAAACAAGATGAAGACATGCAATAAAGAATATCAGAAAGTACAAATGAGTGAGTACTTCTTTCCCAAAGCTGCCAAGAAAAACAGTCTGAATTGAATGCATTTTAGTTACTGTACTCAAAGTTTACAATTGGAGATTTTATCAAAGGGTTATGACGACAGGAGTATAGTAGAACCTCATAGTTATGAGCAACTAAGAAATGGAGGTTCTTCGTAATTCACGTGTTCGTAACTCTGAACAAAAGTTACAGTTCTTTCTAAAGTTTATAACAAAACATTGACTTACTACAGCTTTGAAACTTTACTATGCAGGAAAAAAACATTGTTTTTAACCATCTTAATTTAAATGAAACTAGGGAGCTGCTCCCCCTGCCTGCCAACCCCTCTGGTCCGAGGAGAACCCATCCTAGCTTGCTCCCACCCCTGTTGGCTCTCTTCCCCTCTCTGGCCCACTCCAGCCTCCAGCGGGCCCTGGCTCTCTCTCACCCCCACTGCTCCAGGTCTCTCTCTCTCTCTCTCCTCTGTCCCTCTCCCCCAGGCCCAGCTTTCTCTTGCCCCCTCCCCCCCGGCCCCTCTTGGCGCTCTCTCGCCCCACCCCTGGCTCTCTCTTGCCTCTCCTCCCCCAAGTCCACCTCAGCTCTCTCACCTCTCCTTCCCCCCCAAGCACACCCCGGCTCTCTCTCACCCCTCCTCATCCCCCCCAGCACACACCTTTCTCACTCTCCCCCCGGCCACGGTGCACTAGCCCTGGTTTTCTCCCCAACCTAGGGGGTGCACGAAGGGCCTGGGGAGGGAGCGCAACTCCCATCCACTGGAGCACCAGGAAGGGGGGAGGCTGCATGGCTTGCAGCTTCCCCCTGCCCCCGGCTCCAAGCACCAGGGATGGAAGAGGCTGAACAGCTCCCGGGGCCTCACAGCTCGCAGCTTCCGAAGCCTGAGCTGGAACATGGGAGAGGAAGGCTAAGGCAACACGCAGCCCCAGCCTCACACTTACTTTGAGGGCCATGGGGGTTGCTTTTGCACCACTCCCCCACTGCATACGGGCCAGCAGGGGCAGTGCAGGGCTGTGGGCAAAGAGGCCAGTCAGCAGGGAAGCCTGAGGGAAGAACTGGTAGTATGGTGAGAGGCCGTTTCCGGGTGGGAGGCCCTGTTCTGGGCTTGGAGATGGGCACGTGGCAATGCAGAGTGACAGATGTTGTCCCACAGGAACAATGGTTTTATATATAGAGATAAAAAACACAGACACAGTTTCCTTACTTTGTCAAATCTTTATTTAACTTTCTCTTTTGGGTCTTTTATGTTTAACTAGCACGCGGAGCAGTAGAGCTGCAGGTTTTTGCCCAGAGCTGGAGTGGAGCCGGAGCACAAAAAATCTTGACTGCTCCACTGCTCCAGTTTTTTTTTTTCCAATTCAAAATGAATGGTATTTTAGCAAGAAAGTCCTAAAGGTGCCAAAAAGTTTCAGATTGTATAACAATTGATATTAACATCTACTTTACCACTTTACGTAATATGTCACAGTTATTCTCACTTCAGCCGAAATCAAGATTTAATGTACGGATACAAAATTACAACATTTTTTGGAGATATGTTTTATTAAAGAATCAGATTATCATCAGACATCCGGCAACACAGTAGACTGCTCCCACCCTTGTGTCAAGGTTAGGAGAGTACGTACTTGCGTAGATTAGTTAGATAAGTATGTGTTTATTTTCAACCTTGTAACATGTAGCCTCGTTACTTCCCAACAATTAATGTTGTAGAACAGCGATAGCACGCACTGACACTACGGCACATACCAAATTTAACTGATATATCTATATTAAAGCATTTTTGAGATATTAATTAAAAACGTGGAAAATATTTTGAATATTTTTACCGCAAAATTTCCTAAGAAAAACTAACTTGCAATTTATAAATAAAAAATTATATTAATTATGTATATTAAAAATACTTCTTGCTTCATTAAAGTGGCAAGAAACATGTTAAAATATTAAAATATACTTTAATAATAATTTTGTGTAAAAAAAAAAAAAATGCGATCATTTTTGTCCAGAAAATCCAAAATAAATTCTAAGTACCTTAAGTAGTTAAGAGATCACAAGCAGGTACATTATAAAAAAATGAAATGCTTTTGTTCATTGCTTTTCGAAGATCATAACAAGAAACATTTGGATGCGGTAGTAGCATAAAAAGATTTGGCTATGGCTTCAACAAATAAATCAAATCTGCACCCCATGATTGATAGCCGATTTACGGAAAAGGATCTCAACAACGTCTTTACTTTTGAATCTGAAAAGCCCAAATTTGGGCTTTTGGGAAAAGCAAAGAAGAAATCGGCAATGTGCAAGGTGGAAAAGGAAGTGAATGGCGAGCTCAAGCCATGTAGCTTCAAGACAAGTGAAGCAAATGCCGTGAAAAGTCCATGTAGCTTCAAGACAAGTGAAGCAAGTGCCATGAAAACTTTCAACCTTTGGCGGCATGTAACCATCCTGATAACTATATGGCTCTCGTTACAAAAAAGGACCAGGAAGATGAGGCAAAACAGAAAGCTATCAGGGCTAAATGACATTCATCTGGCTCTTTAAAAACTCCTGGAGAAAAGATTTGTTGCGGAACTTCATTTGAAAAGAAACCCAAAATTGAGCAAACAAAACTTGACTCATATTTGAAGTCCTCAAAGGTAACAGTCACCATGGATTACAATACTTTCCGTGACAGGCTGATGGAAATATTTTGCCCGAGTTCAACACCACTCGCTACCTTCAGGCTAAAGAACAAAGGATTCCAAAAAATTGCAGGTGAAATGGGTCGGCAGCTTGGCGTTTCAATGGGGCACGATGCAGTTTGTCATTTAGTTGTCAAAACAGCTGAGTCTGGTCGCGAAGAGCTCAAGAAAGCTTTGGAGAAAAAATTGTGGTACCTGAAAATGGATGCGGCAGAAATTTCCTTGCAATCAATGCTCAGTACTACGAAGAAGGAAAAGATAAAGCTGTGGTAAAAACCTTGGACATAATCAACACTGAAGGGCATCACAATTCTTCCTACATGAAAAGTCAAGTAAAAGCTATTTTAGAAAAATTTGGAATCAGTGAAACGCAAGTGCCGAGCATCTGTGTTGACAATGCAGCAAACATGACATGTGCCATCAAAAATTTCAGCAAGAACAATGAAACCATTTCTACCTCTGAGAACAGGGATGCGGACAGAACTGAAGCTATTTTGCCTGATGAAGGAACTGAAGGAATGGATGAAATCCAACTCTACATGGATGCTGCTGCACAATGGGTTAATGACCCTAGCCTCATACTTCCAACATGGCTTCATGAGGACGACTCAAAAGTCCAACTGATGAGGTGTGGTATGCCAACTGAAGAGTGTGAAATCTGGGATGGACTGAACAAAGAACATGCGAAGAAATTACTGGCAAAAATTCGACAACCCATTGTCAAACTACGAACCCCAAGTATTCGAAGCATTCTGCTTGATCTACACGGGGTAACTCAATCATTGGATACTCTGACTCGCTGGGGTTCACCATTTGTGATGATTGATCGGCTTCTCGTTTTTCAACCTTACTGTGAACAAGTGGCTGATGCTGGAACAAGAGAACTCAAGTTAACAAAAGCTGAATGGGACAAAGTGAAGAACCTGTGAGACCTCTTGGCAAAGCCACACCAAACAACTGTGAATCTTCAAGCTGTCAATGTAGCCCTGGGAGTTTTAATGAAGGAATGGCGAAAACTGTCAAAATTCTTGCAAAAAAATGGTGGACAAATTGCAGAAGGAATTCTATCCTCCATGCAGAAATGTGAAGAGAAGCTTTTTGACAAAATTCATTTCCTTGATGGAGTTTATGTTGACCCACGGTATCGGATTCTTCTTACTTCAAGGGAAATACCAAAGGCAAAGGAAGGGCTCCTTGATATTGTTCGCCGACTCGAAAAACAAAATCTATTGCTACATTTGAACTCAGTGGAAGAGGTTGAAGAAAACGAAACACAACAAAAGGAGTCATCAACAATTGAATCTGCTGTTTCGGAAAGTTCACATCCTTCAGAAATTGCAGGCTGTTCTCAAACTTCCGTCTCCACTCTGAACTTGTTTGAGCGTCCATCCCTGAGACATCTTCAACCATCACAGGGAAATGGAGATAATTCAAGCACCAATTCTTCAGAAGATGATGACTTCGAAAAGGAATTGGATAAAGAAGAAAGATGCTGGCGAGTTTCTGCAATTCATAATTGTAATGAAGTATTATTTGAGAGAAACTTTCAGGAAGATTGTGAGGCGACAGAGTCTATAGGTAGACTAAAAATTAAGTCTGTTTTTGAGGCTATTCATAGCTACCCACACCGTATTCAGGCTGCCTGTAGAATTGCTTCGAGCATGCCAACAACTCAAGCTAGTATAGAGTGACTGTTTTCGGCTTTAAAGTTAATTTTAAATGATCTGAGGCAAACTATGGAAGACGACTTGATTGCTGCAATAATTTTTTACAGATTGAATTATGAATGAATCTAGTTTGTATCATTCTTGATGACATTTAAATTGTTTTAAAACTGAATAAAAATAATGTTCTCTCAAAATTACTGTATGCACTCTTTTATTTAGTTAAAAATTAATTTGAGTCAGAGCGTGGAGCGGAGTTGGAACGGAGCTGGAGCAGTCACTATTAGTGCCGGAGCGGAGCCAGAGCAGAGCAATTCAAAAATTTGATTGCTCCAAATCCCTGTTTCCATCTATTCAATGGGACTCAGTGCTCAATCTAGAAGATACCACCAGAGATGCTTAATTTTGCAGTTCTTAAACTGTGGATTTGCATCTCCAGAGATAACATGCTTGTTAATAGCAAAAATATTATTTGAAAGGAAAAAGAAAAAGAGGTAACAAAATAACAGACCTCCACCCTACTGTCCCTCTTCACATTTACATACAGAGTCAATCCTTACCTCTCTGTAAAAGTACAAAGTTTCAAAAAGTTCAATGAATAGAAGCCAATATTGTAAGTTTCTCATGTTGGCTTAGCTGACACTGTCAATTTAATTGTTATTTTAAAAAACAATTTTAACAAAAACTTGATTTTAAAAAACGTGAATGTTTAACTAGATTTAAAAATTTATATGCTTATTTTTTGTGTATACATAACGTTGTTTTAGCTAAATAAAACAATTTAAATGACTGTCTGGTAGGGATGTGAAAGTGTACTTGTGTAGACGGTTAAACCGATGAGTCTGGGCTCATAAGTTAACATTCCCGGTTATACAGTTTCTCTTTCTCTCTCTCTCTCTCTCTCTCTCACTCACTCACACAGAGCTACCTCTGTATGTGAGGCAACAGCATTGGGGAGAAGTAGTAGGCAGGAGCCGGTACGCATGAGGAGCCAGTTCCGCCAGCCCCCCGCGCGTAATCACTGAAATTTTCAGCAGTTACATGATTACAAAATTAGGCATTTTAACATCCTAATGCAGTCTAGGGTGGAAGAAGAGATCTGACAACCAGAACAGGAAGTGGAGAGGGAGGACAAGGGAAAGTGATGTTGACTCACCATAACAGAAGTCTTAAAAGACACCTGTATGGGAATGTCACTGATAAAAATGCAAGTTATATAATGAAATAACATGTATATAGCACTTAATGAATTTGCAAACTCTTTCAGCATTTCTCAGTTCCCCATACTGAACTAGTTACTCCTGTAGCATTAGAGCTATGGTCACCAACCAGTCGATCGTGAGGTAATGTTCCCAGCACCCCTTGGTCCTCCCCCCTCCCCAACAAGGAGCCACCACTGGCACTACAGCCTCCCACAAAAACAGAGCTAGCTCCGGCTTCCTGCGGCAGTGGGAGGGGGGTCGTCCCACGTCTCCGCACAACAGTTCCCCACACACACACTGCAGGCAGGAAGGCAGGCAGCATGGGGAAGGAAGGGAAGACAAGGAAGCGTGCACTCCTCCCCTATCCACAACAGCGTGAACATTTTCTTGTCTTCCCTTCCTTCCCTGTGCA